GATTTAAGCCCCGCCCATTCTGAGGATATGAATACAGGTAATTTAGTTGGTTGAACAGATACAAAGACAGATAATGGTGTACTGGCTCATCCCCAATGTAGCTATTTAACACTTATTTTAACAAAATAAATATCGCTTACAGCACCTTTTTAATATAAAAATATTAGCCAGAGCAGCTTTAATTTATTGTAAAATCTTCAGAAAATGACTCGATAATAAAAAATAATAATTTGCTGCAGCCCTGAGAGAAACAGAATGGACACACAGCTGTTTCTGTCGAGGCACTTTTGAGCCTGTCAAGAACCCCATTCGATATTGAATTACTTTCTATCATCTTATAATTGTAAAGGTTTGGGCCCGTTATGAACAGTCAGCAGTTTCTCCACTTCCTGTTACTGCTTGCATAGCGTTGAGGGGATTGTGTGCATTCAATTGAATGAATTTCTGTACAGTGAAATATGTGGTATGAGCTTTAGAATCTAGGACAGACATTATGTAACAGCCAAACAGTTACTCTGTAGTGCATTATGAAGCAGTGTTTTCTCAGTATGAATTATACCAAGAAAGAGTCAGTTCAGAGAACTGATTAAACTGCGTCAGTACTTGAACTTTTATAGTGTTGAACTGGTTCCTGCTTCGGTAGAAACCCGAAGGTGAACGTCCTTCTTCTTTTTTTTTACCACCACCATTTCCTCTGAATCGAGGAATTATCTCACACTCCCTGGTAAACAAATCAACAACTGTGCCCTGACAAGTACAAGCAGGGGCAGAACACAAGTTTTGCTGTCCTCCAGCACTTGCATGATAATGAAATTTGCAATAATCCCGCAGCATTAACCATTAACCAGCATTAATCCTGCTGTGTTTGGCCTTATTAGCCGAGAACAAATCCATCAGCCTTTTGAAGCGAACTTTTCGGAGCTCTAAGCTGTTATTTCCGACCTTGAGAGCATTACTTGGCAAACTTATATGCACAGAATTCCACCAATGAGCCTGAACCTCAGATTAGTGACATGCTTGAAATGGCTGGAGTGTGTCAGTGGAGTCTAACATGGCCTGCCTGCTTGTGTGTGTTCCTGTTTATCTGTTTTTGTGTGTGTGCATGCATGTGCTTACCGAAGACAGACTTTCCCATCTGCGTCACAGACTATGCATGACGTCTGTCAGATGTTTATGCTCGCCTTGTCTCAACAAATAGGTCTGTTTCACTCGGATATAAATGAGCATGTGGTGTTTGCTTCGAATGGCCGGGCGCTCAAACCAATTCTTCCCTTTTTTTTCCCAATTTATGCAGCTTCCTCCCTCCATCATTCTCTGTCCTTTCTCCTCACCAGCGCTGCTACAGAAAAACCTTTGCTATTTGTAGCCCAGCATCGGAGGCTAATCTGAGAAATGAGCCCATTACTTTTTCTTTCCCTCTCGTGTGCGTTTGCTGAATAATTGAAGTAAATGGTATGTTTTCTTTTTTTTTTTGTCTGTGAATTATGTGCTTCAACGTGAGCGTAGCTCAAACAGCCAGCTGTGAAAGTTGCATTTCCGCTGGGTTTATGTGGTCATAATTAGCAGCTCCCATGTGACTGGGTGTTTGTGTGTGTTTTTGTGCGAGTGTGTGTGTTTGAGCTTGTATGTGAGAGCGCGCCTGTGAGCAGGGGTGTGCTCGTGTTTACATGACAGCCGACCAGGAAGGGAAGTGACGCAGGCGGCAGCTGAGGGCGAGAGCTGCAGACATTACACCGCTGCAGAGAGAGAGAGAGAGAGAGAGAGAGAGACGGGGCAGGAAAACCACAGACAGATAAAAGAGTAAGACAGGAACAAAGAAACTAATGAGCGATCACCTTCTTCGGTTCTGCTGTCGAATGCAGTATCGCGGCCCTGCCACCACAAACAAATGCAAACATGCAATAAAAAATGAGTCAGTGTCCGCGTAGGTTGGGCAAGTGCGCATTTGATTATGAAATGTGTTTACCCTCCACTCACTATAAAAGTAGTGACACAGGCTTTTGTTTGTCCTGAGCTTTGCCTGTTCCAGCTCTCAGCCAACCTCCCCAGTTGCTTTCCACAGTCATCATCTCCCTGGCCAGCTGCCCTCTCAGGCTAGACCAGACTCCAACTTTTTTGGCTGTTTGAAGACTTTCATAACAGCTTCGGTAACGGACACTTCTCAAATATTTCCTCAGCAAACGCTGGGCTTCGTGAGGGATGGGAAACATAGGACGATGGTTCTCAAAGCAACTCATGAAAGGCCCAATGAGCGATCTGACACAATGTATCATGCAGGGAAGTGGTGAAGGGAAACTCCACCTAAAGTCAGATCACTCAGCGATTAGCTTTGGAGTGGACTCACCTTTTCTGGCTGACATTAATGTTATTGAAACTGGACTCTTCTATGGCTACTTAGCATCAAAGCCCCCGCTAGTGTTGTTGAGAGGCTACAGCGTTCATTACACCCGAGAGAGCCAAACGTAAATTTCTGCCTTGTTGGGATATGGCATATATTGTGTCTAAAGTTGACATTTTGGCCTATGGCACTTCGGTAAAGATTCATTAAGAGTCTGGAATGGAAAGTGTTCATTCTCTGGGGAGTATAAATATGCTCTGCAGATTTTACAGTGGTCCATAAATTAGATTATGAGAAATGGTGTGTCCGTTGTTGACATTCTGGCTCATAACACTACAGTAAAGCTCACTGAGTGTCCAAAATGGTAAGGGTTTATCCTCTGGGGAGCCAGACTGTGTCCATGAAATTTCATGGTTATCTGCCAGTAAAAGTTTAAAATCATTTGAAAATTCTGGCCTGATGGTGGCTTTCGAGAAAAAGTGTCACAGAAGTTTTCATCCTTCCAGGATCATGAATATCCAAAGCACATTTAATGAAATCTGGACATTTAGTTCAAGACAGGTTGTCCTAGACCAAAAGTTTGACCTGTCAGTAATTGTGTTTCGAAAACAACGCTCATTAATGAAACAAACAGAAATGTCATGTTTCCATCCTGCTTTTTTCCACTGCTACTCTTTTAATTGCCATTAACTTCTATTGAAAGTAAGGTCCAAATTAGACCCTTTATCAGCCTGGTGTGGCTACGCTTTTTGACAAATAAACGCAGGTCTCAATTAGATGCCTGGTCTGGTATTGAACAAGTTCTAAGCTGTTTTTGTCAAAATGGACATGCTATACGTTGTTAGATCATTCAGTTAATTTTAAAGAAACTAGGAGCACCAAGTATTAAAGGATCAAATTAATAATTCATAATTGATGTGCTCTAATTTTTATACAAGTAACATTGATACTGGTTTTAATAAGCAATTTTATATCCCATCTTTGCTGAGCCTGAGTTTTGTGCAAAAGGAATTAAAGGCCTGTCCCATATAGAAGCCTGTCCCAAATAAAGGCAGGTTGAGTTCAGTGACTGAAGCAAATAAAAGCCCAGACTATTAATGGAAGATTTATGGTACGTCAGTTCTTCTTTTGGTATTCTGACTGGAGAATTGGTGCCAGCCACTGCTTATCTTGCAACCAACTCCTAATAATCACATAAGGGGGGCAGGATGGAAAAAAACTTTTATTTGAATTTTCTTCTGCCAAATTACTCACAGCTATTGGCATCAAACAAAACTGTAAGGGATCATGAAAATGATACAGAATCATCCTCTGAGGATGAGGAATGATAATACTAAAATTTTAAATCAGTTTGGCCAGTTGAATGGATGGAAGCCCCCCGCCTCTAACATGCCGCGCAATAACTGGAGATCACAAACTATCACTTTTTTATTAACCACTACATTGCTGTGTTTTCCTTCCTGCGGTATATACACCTCTAAAGTCTTTTACTGCATTGCGTGCCTTCTTCGAGGCACAGTGATAAGACTGTGAATGGAGCCGGTCTGGTCAGAGGTGAGCGCAGATTGCATTGTTAAGCAGCCTGCAGGATGGAGGGCGAGTTGGCAGGGAGAGTCCAGGGCTGGCACTGAGCTGCTTGGCATACAACTGGCCTGGGGAGGACGTGAAATGGAACCTCAGCAGGGCACGGGTAATGGAGGAGAAAACTTCCCACGTCTTTATTAGAGAGGAGGTGAGGGAGGAAAGACGGAGCGAGGGAGAGTGTTGATATAATGAGATAATAATAATAAGTTCACTGTATTTGTCCTTAACTCACTCTGTATGTTTGTTATTTTGCTCTCATTTAGCAGAGCGGCTGCACTGTCAGAACATCAGGTTGGGCTTTAACAAAGACGTAACATTTTCTGGCAACAGCCCACCGTCCATATGTCTGCTGGTCATGGCAATTAAACCATAAGACGGGGAAGAGAAATGGGCTGCGGGGGCGAGATATAAACACAGAAACGTAAAGAGGCAGAGAAGAAAAAGCGATAGTCGGTGGGTCGTAGATGTGATTTAGCCGGG